TGAAAGAGGAAGATCCTCTATGAGATGGACTGACACAGTGTTTGCAGCAATGGACTTGAGTATGTCAGAGAATATGGGCCAGGATCAGACAGGGTTCAGATCTGTTTTTCATAGGGTCACTGAGTCATATTCAACTCGAGGACACACAACAACAAAAAATAGGCTTGGAAATTTTGACTAAAATTTTATTTTGGATTGACTTTTATTTTGCCTTGTATTAACTGCTAATGTTGGAAGCTTTGGTGGTGTGGTGGTAAGGAGCTGCGCTGCCAACCCAAAGGCATGCTGTTCAAATTCACCAGCTACTCCAAAGGAGTAAGATGGGCAATCTCTTGTGTGATTTATAGCCTCTGAACACCTGCTAGAGAACCAGTGACAGGCCAGTTCTCACTCAACAGTATATAGCAACAAGTTGTTAATGAATTCTCCCCAGCTCTTTCTCTTGTATAAATGTTTGTCAGTAGTAGATTAACAATGGTGACTTTTAAGTCTTATCCTTTGCAGATAGTTTTGATGTTGAGCCTGAAGGTCTCTGCAATAAAAACCACTAATCAGAAAGCTTCCCCCAAATGGGATCCATTAAAAGACTATGCTAGATATTTGAACAGAGAACTTCCAAATGCACTGCTCATGCAACTAGGCTGAACCAAGATTTCCAGAATTCTTTGGTTGATAAGTTCACTACTGCCAATGTAGAAGAAATGAAACAGAAATTAATTACAGGCATGAGTGAACTAAAAGATCATTATGAGTTTTCTGTGGAGGGATATTACCAAAGTTTTAATGTTTGTTTTCAAGATAAAGAAACATTTTCTTTTTCTCCTAAACTGTCTAAAATTTATAATAATTTAATAGACTATACTTATGCAAACAAAGATAAGGTATAATGTCTCTCACTCAAATAGCTTTATTTTTTTTATGGCAATTTAGCTATTTACATAAGTTTCTCTGTCCCCTTGTTGTCCAGAGAAATCTTGGCTAAATATCTAAGCTTTGTCATATTATAGAATTGTGCTCAGAGAATCAAGTACTATCAGAACTTCCATTAAACCAGTTTATATGATATTATATTATTATAATAATATATATTCTATGATTTATATTATCATTCTTGGTGCATTAGTGTAAGTAATAGTGAACACCCATAATGTAGATGAAGAAAAATTTCCTTTTAGATTTCTGTGGATTAGAAGGAAGGTGACCACAGAGAAATTTTGTTTCAATAGGGAATTATAGCAAGCCATCCTTAGGTACTTTAAGGGGTTTTTTTCGTATTCTTTATCTTTAAGAAACCACAGTCAATAAGATCATTTTCTACTTGAAGATTAGAATTAGTCTTGTTACCTGACTTAGGTACCCCACATAATTAACCAAGGGGAAAATTTGGAAGCAAGAGTGATTAAGGCCTAAACTCATCAAACAATTAACTAAGCTACTATCATATCAGGAGAGAACTCTGGTGTTGAAATGCATAAGGAGATTGCTGCCAATACAAAAGTGTCACCCCTCTGGTGGATTTGAATCCTCCAGAGCCTTCTCAGAGAAAGATGGGTAATCTCCCATACAATTTACATCTTCCAAATTCCTACTGAAGGATCAGATATCATTGGTTCCAATTCAATGACAATGAGTTAATCAAATGAGGACCTATTGACAGAGAGTATTTCTTGCCTGTTTTACAACTAAAATTACTGAAATGTGTTTAAATTATATATGTATGTGTGCCTGATATAAACTATGTTGTTATTGTTTTGTGCCATTTAGTCACCTGTGACTCATAGCGACCCTATGTAAAACGGCTCTGAAGCCTGCTTTGTCCTAAGCCAATCTCACTGACTCTGACACCCCTTCTTCCTCTCCTTTACTGTCCCTCCACCTTTCTAAGCAAGATGTCCTTTTCTAAGTGCTGGTCTTTCCTGGCCACGTACCCAAAGTATGTGAGACAAAGCTTCAAAATCCTACCCTCCAAGAAGTAATTTGGTTTCACCCTCTCCAAGACAGACCTATCTGTTTTCTTGGTGGTTCATGGTATTTTCAAGACTCTCTCCAGCACCACAATTCAAAGGCATCAATTCTTCTGTCATTTTTAGTCACTGTCCAGTTCTCTGATGCATAGCAAGTAATTGCAAAGACCACAGCCTGGATCAAGAGCATTTTAGACTCTAGACTGACACCGTTGCTTCTCAGCAATGTTGCTTCTCTTCAACTCTGAAGAGGTCTCTGACAGCAGGTTTTCCCAGTGCAATTTGTCTTTTGATTTCTTGACTGCTGGTGCCAAGGGTGCTGATTGTGGAGCTAAGCAAACTGTAATGTTTAACAGTCTTAATCTCTATCTATCATGGTGCTGCCAATAATCTTTTCTTCTTCTTCTTTTTTTTTAGCTATAGTATTTTTGATTGCTTCCTAGGCATCTGAAAGTTAGACAATGAATAAGGAAAACCAAAAACAATCAATGCCTTTGTGTAGTTGAATTGGAAAAGAGTACTGACTATCCCACGGACTACCATAAACAGTAAACTAATCAAGGAATAAACATCTAGGAGGACGTGCAACCAGGGTGCTCCTTAGAGGCAAGGATGGTGAAACTTGGTCTCATATACTTTGATAATGTTGTCAGGAGGAGCCAATCTTTGGAAAAAGAGATCATGCTGGACAATTAGATGGGATACTGTGACTATCAGGACAATGGTACAAGATGAGGTAAAGTTCTGATCTGTTGTTCACAGGGTTGCTATGAGTAGTAGTCAACCACATGGCATTTAACAACAACTTTTCCTAAAGTTACCTTCAAATAAACAATAACTGAGTAGCTAACAGATCATTTTGCTTTAGGTATTGGGTTCTTCAGAGAATTATCTGTATAACAAATTTAGGGGAAAGGAGGCCCATGGTCTGATAAGAAAATAAATGATATGTCCTTAGTGACCTATTTATCTAGCCACCCAGGTGCCTGTTGATATTACTGTTGTTGTTTGGTGCCATCAAGTCAACTATGACTCACAGCGACCCTATGAACAATAGATCATAACTGAAGATCTGTTAAAATCCCTGTCATACTCAAGCCCGCTGTGGCAATCCATCTCATTGAGGGTCTTCCTCTGTGTTAATGACCCTCCACCTTTCCTACCATGATATCTCTCACCAAGGACTAGTGCCTCCTGAAAAATATGCTCAAAGTAATTGAGACAGAATCTCACCACGCTTGCCTCCAAGGAGCAATATGATTCCACTTCCTTCAAGACAGACTTGTTTGTTCTTTTGGCCTGGCATATACTCAATATGCATCTCCAACACTGCAATTCAAAGGCACTGATACCTCTTTGTATTCCTATTCATTCAGACACACAGAAGGCAACAGGAAAATACTATGGCTTGCATCAGAAGCACTTTCCACTGTCTTCACACTTTCCTTTCTTCTGATGTTACATGCTTGGGAGTTAATATAACAAGGAAGCCTGTTTTCATTGTCCACTCTTCTAGTACCTTCTTGGTACAGCCAGGATGATATTGACAATGCATTTACCCACAGGAAGAAAGGCTGGCAATCTACTTGTGAAAAAAAATGGATGTTAGGTACTGTTGATTGACTGTGACTCACAGTGACCCTACGAACAACAGATCTGAACCTTGCCCTATCCTGTGCCATCCTAAATATCTGTGTTCTGTGATATGTACCTGTGATACAATCACTGTGTCAGCCAAGCTTATTGATGGTGTTCCTTTCTTTCTCTGACCCTCCACATTTCTCGGCATGAAGTCTTTTTCCAAGGACTAACTCTTCTTGACGGCATACCCAAAGTATGTGAGATGAAGTTCCACTATCCACACCTCTATGGAGCACCCTGGTTAGCCACTGAAAATTCCACTGAGTGAAGTTCTACTCTGAAATATACAGGTGTGATAACTTTTTGGGGTGTGAGTGGTAAGGGGTCGGCTCCTATTGTTGTCAGGTATGGCTCAGACTCATTGTAACCCCGTATACAACAGAATGAAACCCAACCTGATCCCGTGTCATCCCCACAATATCTGCTGTGCTAAAGCTCACTGTTGCAGCTACTCTATCATTGGGGGCCTTCCTCTCTTTTGCTGATTCTCTATTTTCCCAAGTGTGATGTCCTCTTCCAGCAACTAGCCTCTCTTGATAAAACAGTAAAAGTATGTAACACAAAGTTTCTCTACGTTACTTCTAAGGAGCATTCTGACTAACTTCTTCAAAGACAGATTTGTTCTTTTGGCAGTCCATAGGATAGTCACTACTTGTTGACAACACAATTCAAAGGCATACATTTTTCTTTAGTCTTCCTTGTTCCCTGTCCAACTCTCGTGCACACATGAGGTGCAGACAATACTGTGACTTGGGTCAGGCCATCTTTGTCTCTAAAGTGACATCCTGTTTGTTAACACTTTAAAGAAATCCTTTGTAGCAGATTCCTCCCTAGATAGATTTGTTTTCAAATATTACCCATCTTAAGTGGTGCCTCTAAGGAACAGGATTAAAAGGATTCTATAGTGGTCTATTGGTAAGGAGCTGTACTGCCAACATGAAGGCATGCAGTTTGAATCCACCAACTGCTCCATGGAAGAAAGATAAGCAATCTCCTTTTGTGCAATTTGCTGGCTCTGAAACCCTGTGGGAGGGTCAGCTACAGTTCTATTCTGACTCAATAAGCGTAACAACATAGCAATAGTTGCCTAAGTACTTTTTTAATTTTTATTTTATTATTTTGTGTGTGCATGTACTGTCAAATCAGATCTGACAGTACAGGAGGAGATTGCCCCTCCATCTCCAGCAAAGCATCTGGTGGATTCAAACCATGTACATCGGGGATTGCGGTGCACCTTCTTGTCACTACACCATGAATTTTACCCATGTACTTTTGATATTTTTATCAGACTGCCTATCGATGGATCAGATGAAGTAAATGGCCTACCTTGAGATTATCTAAAGGACAGGAGCATCCCCTGACCCACATCATTTTGGGTGCAAACCTGCTACTTACCTTGGCTCGTCCAGCACCAAAATGTGGAGGCAAAGACCTTGAGGCTGCTGATACCCTGGCTCTTGTCTGGGCCAGGTTACCTGTGTGAAAAAAAAAAGAAAAAAGACTACACTGAAGGCAAAACTAAGGCAGAGGGTTAGGAATGACGTTCTTCTCTCTGTTCTCATTTTCTCCTGAATTTCCCAAATAATCTGCTCTGAATTGGGAAAACTTGAGTACGAAAAGTTCAGTAATGTAAATGGTAATATAAATAATAGGTTGAACCTATACCAGTTTCATAAGCAAAAAAAAAAAAAGAAACAGAAAAAGAAGTCTCTGAATACAGCACAGCAGGTCATTGAAAAGAATCAATGTGAGAGAAAAAAGATGTGGAAGGTAGTTTTATGGGCAAGAAACTTGACAATAGAGGGCACCATTCTAAGGGATTAAGACACTGATTAGACAGTAAGCATCCTTAGTCCTGGAGACCCCCAGAGAGATTTGCTGCTTACAGCAGGTGGGGAAAGTGAGGAGAGAGGGGTGGAGAAGTGTGACCTTGAACAAGTTAATTAATATCTCTTGTTGTCTTGAGGATTCAAGGAGATGACACACTAAAGGCCATGTCAGCATAGAACTACCCAAGCAAAAGCAGGCTAGCTAGTACTTATTTCTTTAGCTATTTATTTGATGATTATGATTATTACTTGCAGTGAACAATTCATGCAAGTTTCAAGGCTGAAAGCAACAGGGCAGAGAAAACCAAGACATCTCAGCAATTTACTACAGGGAGCTCTGGTTACTCTAAGTAGCTAAATTAATGAATGATGAGGGTGGGAAAAAATGGTAAGACAACTGCCCTTTGAACTTTGGATCTTCCTGCCACTCCATTTTTCACCTTTGAAGGCTTAAGTGGTCTGAACTCAGACTCTTCTCCCTTCCCCCTCATCCAGTCCCAGCTCCACCTGCTATGGCCTCCCAGATTCCCAGTCCTGCAAGCCAAGCTCCCTAAGAGATTTGTTTGCATTTTTGCTTGCACTGCCATTTGACTCTGTAGAAACCTAAAAAGTTGTCAATGAAAGGAAATGCAGCAATTTGTGTATATGCAAGACACTCAAGATTTCAAAGTTTTAGCATGTCTAGCACAAAGATGTCCAAATGTTTTCTCTGGCGATATCTTCAGAGGCTAAACTGTGATTAATAGCCCAGAAAGAACCCTTTGAAGCAGGATTGGTGACATCAAAGTCGTAATCCAGGGGTGGCAGGCGCTTTATAATGAGTGGGAAGCATTTTAACACATTTCAAAGGATTTACAGCATGAATAAACAATAGACCTCAGCAGATGCACCACACACACCTTTCAGAAACTTAACCTTTATGAAGTTTCCATTTTAATTTAAATGTAAATACAGTGATCATTTGTTAAATGTTCAGCATCCTCAGTGTTTGCACCCTAGACTGCCTCTTCCCCACTAAGAACGCCTCATTGCCCCAAAGCACCCTCCTGTGCTTCCTAGACACTGTGACTAGCAGTCTGTGTCAGGGAGAGAAAACCAAAGTCAGAGGCATCTAATGGAATTGATATCCTACTCAAGAACTGGGTTAAGAGGGAATCTGAAATGGAGCTTGCAATGATCCTGTGCAATTTCCCTGCTTCCAACTTCAAGAAAAAGAGACAAGTGGTCTGAAAGGAGAACTGAAACTTTCAAAAGATGGCTATTTCCTGCTTGTCTTAAAGGATTTTCATCTCTTGGGAAGGACCCACCACTCATGATTTTGTCTTCATCTCTTAGGAAAAACCCAGCACTTCACAGTCTCTGTGAAGTCACTTCCGACTCTTGGCAACTCCAAGGGGATCAGAGTAGACTTATGCTCCAGACTCTGAGGGGCTTACTCTTTGAAAGTAGAACGTCAGGACTTTCTTCTGAAGAACCTCTAATGGATTCAACCTACCAACCTTTTGGTTTGCAAAGAGTGTATTAACTGTTTTTACTACCCGAGACAAAAAAAAAAGGACGAGGATAAAGCCCAAAATGATGGTGGCTATTTTAAATAATGAGAGTTCTGTCTCCCGTGCTGCCCCATCTCAGGTTTGCTGTGCTTGTTGCAGGACTCCAATACTGACTATAGGTGGGCATTTCTTTGGGATATGATATTTTCCCTCTAGATATTAAAGAATATGTTACAAAAACTGATTGCAAATTAATAAGAGCACCTGAAATTGAACATTGATATTTTTCTCATGTGATTTATTGCCACTGAAAATCTGCTGGTGGGTCAGCTATCAGTCAGTTCTGCCTCAATGGTGCACAACAATAATAACTATATATGTGTTGTAGTTCTTGTGAGGTGCCACTGAGCAGGGTATAAGTTATATTGACTCCATGAACAACAGAACCCATCCTATCCTTTGACATTTTGTATATGTATATTGTTGTTGTTCTTGTTGTTGTTGTTGTTATGTGCCATCAAGTCTCCTGCGACTCATAGCGACCCTATGTACAACAGCCCTAAACTCCGCTCTGTCCTGTGCCAATCGCACCGTCTCTGACACTCCCATCCCAATTATCCCAGTCAC